TTACAAATATTTTATACTTATGTATTTTAAAAATCAAAACACCCAGTGTAATAGTAGTTTCTAAAAGTATTGNAAAATCCAAATTTCTTACAACTACAGCAACTGTCCTTGTTGCATTAAAGTTTTTTTTTAACTTTTTTCTTTGACCAAATAGGTTTGTGTCCCTTGTCCTTTTGTTTTTCCTGATGGGGCCGAACTTGTGCTGCCTGTCTTTCTTGGGAATTTAGTTCTGCAAATATATTATGGGTATTGTATTATTTTAAAAATCCTATTTTATATATATATAAAGTTAAAAAACTTTAATGCATCAAGGACAGTTGCTGTAGTTGTAAGAAATTTGGATTTTGTATGAAGTGTATATTACAAATATTTTATACTTATGTATTTTAAAAATCAAAACACCCAGTGTAATAGTAGTTTCTAAAAGTATTGATGTTCCTTCCGATGATGGTCTATAGGAACCGAAACACGTTACTGTGCTAAGAAGTGAAGTAGTAAAAGCTTCAACAGTCACACTGGATGGAATTGTTTTATCATTTGTAATTCAATAAAAACTATTTGATACAACATAGAAAGGTAACAAAAATTATCACATTTTTCTGTCTAGTGACATGACAACAATATAGCAACAGGAAATGCACGATATAACAAGGGCTATTGTAAGAGGTAGAGTTGTCCCTGTGCTCAACAAATTAAGCACTACCCCATGAAGGTGTATGGGGGAATGGATGTATAGATCCACATTTTCTTGGCCTCTACACTAGCTGGAAGTGAGTGGTCAGCTTCACACCCTGGCTGTTTTACCCCTGGTGGAAAGTGCTCATGGTACCCATTGAATAAATGGTTGGGTGGACCCTAGAGCTGGTCTGGAAAATTTGGAGAAGACAAAATTCTTGACCCTACCTAGACTCGAGCTCCAACCCTTCAGTTGCCCAGCCTTTAGTCAGCCACTATACCAAGTACGCTACCCTGGCTACTAGGGATATTGTAGTAAATGGCAAAAAAATAATTAAACAAATTAATTAAATGAAAGAGGGAATAAAGAATCATGCTTGGCTTGAAAACTAAAACATTTGTATAGTGATAGGCTGTCGGCTGTACAGCTGGGGTTTGATTCCGAGCCTTGCAAGAGGTTTTTCTGTACTCCACAACGTCTAAACCAGACCTAGGACCCACCCAGCTTCCTCTCCAATGGGTACCAGGAGTTTTTTCCCTGTTGGTAAAGGAGCATGAAGGGCATGAAGCTGAACTGACCTCCATCTAATGCCGAGATCAAGAATTGTGAAGCTGTATCTCCACTCTGCCATATGTCTTCATGGTGTGATGCTTAATTAATTAAGAATAGGGACAGCTTTGGCTATTTTTTACCTTTATGTTTTATTTAGTCAAATAATAATATGAGGAGTCTTTTTGTTTACTCAAATTACATGGCAACTAGAGGACAGGAAGCACAAAAATAAGTTGGCTGTGGGCACGTAGGCTGTTCTTCCACTGATGAATATGATTGCACAAAAATTGTCATATGCAACATGATATTTTTCTTATTAGCAACTGTTACATTTTGTAGGGTCTCTCCCACAGACATGAATGAATCTATTGTCTCGGCAAAGTAAACAGCAATAATTGTGTTCAATCAGATGGGCCATTTTCTTACTGACTTCAGTTACAGTCACATAGAAATAGTGAGGTTAGGGTGTAGTGAGGTGGCTTTCCTTTACTGCTAGTTTGTTGCTACTCAGTTCAGTTGTTTCAATATGCAAGTGTAAAATGCAGATGGTTTCAGCTGACTGGTGCATGTGATCATTTTCTTGCAGTTGGTTGTGTCAGTGGGAGAGCAGGCTTACATTCAAGAGCTATAGCATATTGTATTTTAATGTATTTTATGCATTAATTTTAAAACTTCTAATATATGTTAACATTATTGAATACCCCTGATGATGGCAGAATACTTGCAGGATGCAGATCAATTACATTTTGGTGTTTTATAATGTGGTTTTCATTGAGTTGAATTATGACAATGACATCTTTAAAATTAGCTTCACAGTGATTTAAACCATCCATCTTCAGACTTCTCTGAAGTTTGAGACAACAGGTTTCTTTGAAATGTTAGTATCTGTTCATCAAATTACACAGCATCAGACTCCAGAAGACCATGTTCTGATTTCAGGTTCTTTGTGAAATGACCCTGATTTATACTTTATACCAGAATGTACTTTCTGCTCAACTTGCTCGTGATCATTCTTAGTCCTCTGAACTGATAATAGTGACTGAGAGTTGCTAGTAGGAAAAGAAAGCGAACTTTAAATTTGTATAGTTCATCAGTATCGGTAATGTGTAAACTTTGACCCATTTGTCTTAGGACAGAAGGAAGACATTGCACTGGCTATATAAACATATTCATCTGTGGACTAAGAAGTGCTGCTTAGTTGCAGTTGATTGCTTAGTGTATAGTGGGCTGATTCATGATGTAATCATGTCAATTGGTTCAAGATGGTTGTAACAGCATGACATGGTGACCAGAATACTGGACTTTGTCGCTTTTATGTCTGATGACTCTCTTTGTTGATGTATGATTAATATTGTCATGGTATTTTTCATTCAGCCGTGCTGGCTCTCTTTATTGAATATACGTTATACATACCATGTGTCTTCCTAATTTATCAATAATTTTTTTCATATTCCTTCAATGACCTTGTCTGTCCTGTGTAACATTTTGCATTCTCTGCATGTTAGCTTGTATGTCCCTGTCTTGTAGCATCATATATGTTTACATGTGCAGCCCAGTAACTTGGCATTCTATGGATATTTTCTTATGTGTCCTGTAGCATGGAATTCTGGGCATGTAACGTCAAATATAAAATCATGTTCATGTTTCTGTTGTGCTCTATGCAGCATTGTGGTGTTTACTCAGTATGCTGTAAGACAGTTGGTGTTTCATTAATTCTTCTTATATTATGTAAATGTAATTCTCAATTTATTCAGTCTGGTTCGATGCTTGTTGTCTTGTTTCCTTTTATTTTGTTTGAGCTGTCTCCTTCAGTTTCATGCTTAAATTCACTACTCTGAAATATGGGTATATTTGTTTCTGCTATCCGCATTCATAAATAAATGGTATAGTTTATTGATCACTGCCCTGTATCTGTTACTGTGTGTTGCTTTGAATTTGCTTGGATAGTAATATTTTAGTTGTGGGCCTGCATCTGGGAGGGGCAAAATCTGGCCTGCAGATCACCTTCAGCCTGATATTATCAAACCAGTCCATGATAGATATTAACATTGCAGCAGAACGTATTAAGACTATATATTTTCTGTGCTTACTTCAGTCATAATGAATTTAAGATTGTTATGTTAAAATGATGTTTGGGAAATAACAGTTTTGGATTATATTTTGTGTTTAAGTTCTGACTTAAATCATATTAATTATGCATCCTTAATTTCCTCTGTGCACAAATTGATGACATAAATTGGACATCTACAATTTTACATTAATAAAAAGAAGTGTGGCCTGTAAAGCATACTGAAACTCATGAAATGGCCCACCAGTCAAAGTAATTGCTCATCCCTGGCTTACAGTATACTTTAATTGTTAGATTTCCCTGTGTAAATCACATGGTACCACAAGGTTGGTGGCCATATCTTATAATGAGATATCTCATCTGTTACACTTTGTATGAACTGTTAAGAACAAGACAGCCATAAAGTGTAATGAACATTACTAAAATGCTGAGTCAGTAAAATCACCTCATGTGTTTTGCACCTGTAGGAGCATCTTCAGAGGCTTGTGCAATAAAAAGAGATTTCTTCCCATTTCTTCTTACACTCAGAAGATATGTATATAGTATAGTTTTAAGACTTTTACATATATTTATTTATTTATTTCATATCATATCCATGGATCATTGTACATGATATAGGACAAGTCAAATGCTTTACAATACAATAAGTAATAATAGTAATAATAATAATAATAATAATAATACAATATATAACACAATGATATAATAGTATACAAAGATAATAAAATTATGATTCGAATGATATATATCCTGGGTGGTTATGGTTATGGAGAGTTTGATGGAATGAAGATTGGCAGGGGAAACCGAAGTACTCGGAGAAAACCTGCCCCAGTGCCACTTTGTCCATCACAAATCCCACTGGACCAGACCGCCTCGGTGGGAAGCCAGCGACTAACCGCTTAAGCTGTGGCACGGCCTTAGAGATAATATTGTCTGGTATGTTGCTTCACTGTAGTTTATGGTCCTGGTCTCTGTAGTGCTGGTGAAGCTTCTTGAAGTCTGCATATCTCCAGAGTAGCCTGTTCCGGTAAATCTCCACTGTGTTAGCTTGGTTGCTGGAAAAGGGAAAAGAAAACTGCGCAGTAGCGATTCCAAAACCAATTATTCATTACTTATGTGATTATAATTGAT